ATAAGGATTTCTTAACTGTAAACATAGGACATAAACTATAGAACAATGTCAATAGAACAGTTAAAGGCTGGCTGCAACTTGTACAGCAACCATTAAATAATTAGAGTTAGTAGTTATGAATTAAATGACAATTTCCACAAGGACAGACATAATGATAGGTACATAAATTAGCATTATCAAAATTAATTAGAAAGTGATTCCACAAGTGATTGTAAATAATATTTTTGAGTACCTCCAGTCTCAACTGGAACACTACTCGTTTACTTGTGGATCAGATCTCTCCAATATGGAGAACACTTTGGAAGACTTTCCTTTTGTAATTTGTATATGTAAGAAGTCTACATTGTTTTGATTCGATTGAACGATTATACTATTCAGCTGGATACTCATCTATCTGCATCTATTGTGCAAGTGATGTCTCTACTAGTGATTCAGCACATTATCCACAGTGTCAGTTGTGTATTAATAAGAACCGTACTTTGGTGAAGAGAAAGACTTAGTATTGTTTTTACCTTTTGTTAAATAAACGAGCATGCTTTGTTAAGAATAAGTTTTTTTAATTAATTTTTATTAAGATAATAAGTTGCCCCGCCTTCATAAATAATATTATTCATGATCTGTAGGGAAACTAGTTGGAAGGGCCTTAACGATTGCAAGCAAGCCCTAGGACTTCAGTTTTCCTCAGATTTCTCGATGCTAGATCTAGAGTGTCGTGGGTTCCTATCTATGGTCCCAGCTGATGTTTCGTTGTTCTGTTAGTGTCTTGCACTCGTCACTTCAGGTGAGGCTGCTAGCTAGCTTAGCTCACAGCTTTGTTTTTGGTTTTGGGGCTGTCTAGTTTTTGGGTGTGGTCCTTATAACCATCATTTTTTGCATGAGTATTAAGGAGGATTTACAATATTACGCTAGGCTAAAGTACCATCAATTTTTAATCAAAAGCGTGGGCGATTTGACCTTTTGACGCATGCTTTACTCTGGAGTTGAACCAGATTCAGCTCCAGCGTCAATATAACGTCAGGACTAGGGTAATATTTTTAATCCACCTTTTTTCTACATGAGTATTAGATGGTATTTTGTTTTGGGATAAACGGGTCATAACAGCAGGACAGCAATGCTAGCTGGGACTGTACTTAATCTTTACATATGAAAATCCCTATATAAACATATCAGTAATTCCCGGGAGTGTAGTTACTACTTCCTAATGAATATCATTGCTATCTTAATGATAAAGCCAGATTCATAGTTTCCCTTTACCTGTCCACATAATTCCGGTTCATTACTCTATAGGTTATTTCAATTAATATGTCACATTCACACCTGCACAGGACTGCCACTAATAGGAACTATGAATATTATTGTAGTGGTGACCCATGATATAAATTACATGTACTAATGGCAAGAAGGCCTCAAGATCAAGGGCAGCAACACTGCCTTGCCATTTTTCTGAGCATTGCATGCTGCTGTAGGATGATCATGAAGCTGTACTTAAAATCATATGAAATTGTTTAGACTAAACCTATGTACTCATTTTATTCTATTATTTTTGTAGAATGGAAGAAGATCATGAAATTGAGTTTATTGAGCAACCTCCTTATGACTGCAGCTGTCCAATATGTCTTGAAACTTTTCGAGATGAGGTTTGCCAAACAACATGCTGTGGCAATCACATTTGCTTTGAATGTGCCGACCGATTAAAAAATACGGATACTATGTGCCCAATCTGTCGTAACGATAATTTCAATGCTATAGAAGATAAATTCTTCACTCGTATGTACCTTAGTTTAAAAGTC